CCCTGAATTTAGGATTCAGGCTACATGGGTCCTACTCTTGTTTTGAACATGACCCTTATCGGTAAAACCTGAGGGGAGGGGTTGTTTGAAAGAGATCGGCTGTCTAGAAAGCCTTCTTCAGTTCTGACAAATCTGTGTTTATGAATAGTCTGATTGCTGTGGAAATAAACACATGGCTACTGTTCATTCCACAAACATTTATGGTATACTGACTAGGGAGGCATTGGTGCTAGTAGCTGGGGCAGAAGGGTGAATTACATACAGTCACTTTCCTAAAGGAGCTCACAGTTTAGTGAGGGAGGCAGGCAGTTAAAGAGAATATCAGTGAGACAAGAGCAGAAGTACAGATACCCATAGGGGAGGGTGGAGAAGAAGTTAGGGAGGCCAGGCACTTTTCTGGAGAAGTTGGTACCTGATGTGGCTCTTTAAAGATGAGTAGGGTTCAGCCCGGAGAAGTGGCAGAAAAAGGTCATTCCAGTTAGACAGAACCACTTAAGAATGGCTGGAAGACAAGAAACAGTCTCATGAGCATGATCAGAAGCACGGGCCATTTTTCCTCACTGGAGCAGAAATCCCAAGGCCGGGAGAAGTGGTGAATGAGGCTGGAGAGGTAGGCAGGTGCCAAACCTGACAATTCTCATGTGTTATAATGAGAAGTTGAGCCCATAACCTGTGATTGGTGGGAAGCCACTGAATTGTCATAATAGAAAGAGGTATACTGTCAAATCTGTGATTTGAAGGATAGATTTGAGGGGACGGATATAAAGGAAGAGAGACTTTTGAGCCTGGGGCAGAGAGGTGAGAATGAGTGTGGATGTGGTTAAGTGAGGAGGTTAGCACACAGTTAACATTACTCTACTGCCTCAGTTTTCTTAGGGATGCACCAAGCCCCTTGCTTGGCTCTGATGGGGAGTGGGAAGCTTTGGAAAAGTGGTGAGGATTCAGGGCACTCACTGAGGGGAGTGGAAGAGGAAATGGAGTCAGGATAAGAGGAAAATGGCTGCTGTAGCAAATTAACGTAAACTTGGCTTAAATCAACACAGAGTTACAATTCTGCAGGTTAGGAGTCCAACATGGGTCTCACTGGGTTAGCATCAAGGTGTCATAGGGTATCCTTTCTGGAAGTTCTAGGGTAGAATTAGTCCTCGCCTTTCCCAGCATCTAGAGCAGCCATGGGCAAACTACGGCCCGTGGGCTGGATCCGGGCCCGTTTGAAATGAATAAAACTAAAAAAAAAAAAAGACCGTACCCTTTTATGTAATGATGTTTACTTTGAATTTATATTAGTTCACACAAACACTCCATTCATGCTTTTGTTCCGGCCCTCCGGTCCAGTTTAAGAACCCATTGTGGCCCTCGAGTCAAAAAGTTTGCCCACCCCTGATCTAGAGGCTGCCTGCATTCTTTGGCTTGTTGCCCCATCCCTCCATCTTCAAAACCAGCAAGGGAGGGTGGAGACCTTCTCATATTGCATCACTCTGACACTCTCCTGCCTCCTTTCAATAAAAAAATCACGATGAGATGCATAAATAATATTAATCATTTCAAGTGAACAATTAATTGATATTTAGTATATTCACAATGTTGTGCAATCACTACATCTAGCTCCAAAACATTTTCATCACTCTGAAAGGAAAACCATATTCATTAAGTAGCTTTCCCCCATTCTTCCCTCCCTCCAGCCCCTGGCAACCACCAATCTTGGTTCTGTCACTGTGAATTCCCCTACTATGGATAGTTCACATAGGTAGCCTAATACAATACATGACCTTTGTGTTTGGCTTCTTTCATTTCACTTGATGTTTTTAAGGTTCTCACTTCCACTTTGAAGGAGACTGGTGATTTCATTGGCCCATCTGGGTAATTGGGGGTCCTCTCACTATTTTAAGGTCAGCTAGTTAGCAACCTTAATTTCATCTACAATCTCCCTTCCCCTTCCCCCATACTCACAGGTTCTGGGGATTAGGACATATACATCTTTATTTTTTTTGGGGGGGGGGGGGCGGAGGGATTATTCTGCTTACCCTAGGAGAGGTCACAATGTGTCAAGGGTAGACTATCTTAGAGATTCTACTCAGCAGTCCAGCTCCAGAAGCAGAGCATATGGACTGTGGTATTGGTCCAGGGTTGGGGCTCTGCTGGGTGGAAATGATGTACAGAAACTGTGGACCCGATGCTCATCTGGAAGGTCTCGGATGGGGAGGAGCAGAAGGAAAGAGGTAGGAAAGGAACTGATACTAGGAGAAATAAAGTGGGTTAGCGTAGGTCTCCCCAAACTTTAGTATATGTTCAGTCACCGGAGGAGTTTAAGCAGAGATTTTGATTTATGGGTGTGATCCAGGAATTGGGCCAGCAAATTCTGATGCAGCTGGTGGGGGTGAGTCCACTCTGTGTGGAATGTTGATGTAGATCTCGGAGGTCTTGAGGTTGAAGAACTCATGTGATAGGAGTCAGGAATTAAGAGGGCTGGCAGCGTAAAAGGCTGGGATTACACAGTGGGGTTTTTGAAGCTGGAGCTCAGTTTTGAACTGGCTAACCTTATTCCCACCTTGAGGCCTTCATATTAGCTATGCCCTTTGCCTAGCACAATGCTGTCCATCTATAGTTGTAAATGTTCTAGTTCCCACATTAAAGAGGTACAAGGAAACAGACAAATTAATTTTAATAACATATTCTCTTTAACTTAACATAGCCAAAATATTATTCAATATACAATTACTATGAAATTGTTGAGCTATTTTTACATCATTTTTTGTCTTACTAACTCTTCAAAATTCAGTGTGTATTTCATACTTGCTTCACATCTCAGTTTGGACCAACTGCATTCCAAGTGCTCATTACCCTCACATGGCTATCATATTGGCCAGCGCAGGATGGAATGCCATCATCCCTCCCCCCATCTTTGCATGGTTGGCTCCATCTCATTCAGGTCTCTACCCAGAGATGTCTTTCCTGGCCACGCTGTCTAAACCAGCCACCTTCCATTCCTAACACTGCTTTCTTTTCTTCAGAGACTTATTGCTATCTGATGTTTTATTAGTTATTTGTTTGCTTATTATCTGCCTCCCCATAGGCTATAAATCGCATTAGGGCAAATCCCTGTCTGTCTTCTTTAATGCAATATCCCCAGCAACTACATCACACCCTCAATAGACTCTCAACAAATATTTGTTGAATGACTTTGAAGATTCCAAATTCATCATTTGTTGTCTCGGAAGCCAATGTTCATTCAGTAGGATGTTAGGCAAGGGGGCCGAAGGGAAGAGCATTATGCAAGATATGAGGTGGGAGAAAGCCAGCCTGAAAGCTAAAAGGCTGACTCTCAGATGTCAAAGTAGAAGCCGGGTGGCTTTCCAGCTGTGGCTGTGTGTTGATTCAACCACTGGATTATCCGGTTCTATGAGAAACCATGTCACCAAGTGGTACTTCTGCCTGGCACCAGTAGATGGGGCAGTGTCATAACAAAAAAAAAAAAGTGCAGTCTGCCTTCCAGTGGGGTGTCCGACCACTTCCCCAACTGACTTTGCTAAAGTTCTGTTCTGGAAATGCCCTATGTCTCAGATCTGTGGTGTGGGCTCATAGAGGGCGCCACCAGCTTTCCCAACAAAATACAGCCGCAGTTGTGACTTGTGCTTTCTGAAGGGTGGCCAGCTTCTCCAAAAGGTGAGGTGGGCCCCAGAGGCTGGCCCAGGCCCTAGGAGACAGCTTGGTCCTCCTCCTGGGTCTTTGAGCACAGGCACAGAGCATGACTCACACACAGGAGTGTTCCCATTTGTCTTCTAGAGCCTTTCTGTCCTCCCAAGGTTGAAAACAAGCTTATTAAGAAGGTAGTCCAGCCCTGACTGGTGTGGCTCATTGCTTGGGCGTTGTCCCATGCACCGAAAGGTTGCCAGTTCGATTCCTGGTCAGGGCACATGCCCCTGTTTCGGGCTCAGCCCCTGGTGGGGGGGTGGTGGTATAGGAGGCAGCTGATTGATGTTTCTCTTCCTTTTCTTCCTCTCTCTAAATCAATAAAAATATTAAATGACTCTTGTCAAAAGAGTCATTTATGGGCCCATTAAAAAAAATTAAAAAAGGAAGGTAGTCCAGGTGTGGCAGAGACCAGTCCACAGGAGCAGTTCTGTGGGCCTATTTGCCTGTGTGCCTGGGACTGACACTCTGGCTGCTGCTGGAAAGCCTGGCCTTCCAGTGGAAACTTCCCTGCCACTGCATGAAGCCCATGGTGGTACCCCTCGCAGATGCCGAGGCCAACCTTAGCTCCCACCACCTGCCCCACACCCTCCTCCCCAAACTCTTCTGACCCTTGGACCTCTAAGCAGTTTGGAAATGTTAACTGCTTGAACGTGACATCTACTTTTGTAGGGGTTAGACCTCAAGATTACGGACCAGTTAAAGGTTAATTTGGTGTGTTTTAAATGGAAGTTTTTGTCTGGAGTGCCTATGTCATTGCCACTGCAAGATATTCTGGAAATTTGAGCCAAAGAATGAATTAATTTTGGCTTAAATGGCTTATTATAATCCTAACTATCTCATTCCCACATCATGCCTGGTACCCCTCCAATTAACCCATCGGTGCTACTGAGCAGTAAGAAGTCACAGTTTTGGTCTAATGACAGCCTGGGGCCAGTCAGCCATTCCTTCCTGAAGAGGCAAGGAGGGCCCAAAAAGCATGATCAAGAGACTTTCTTCTTTGATCAGGAAATCATCTTCTTTCATTGTTACAATAGTTAAACTCCATCCTAATCTGCACATGTACATGCATTTTCATGTTCTATAATTTTGCTGTCATTTATACCCCTAAAGCCCTTTAATTCTTACCTGCATGAAGAAATCCTCTTCATCCTTCATACGTTACCACCTCTGTGGAGCCTTCCCTGATTCTCCTAGTCGTAATGAACCTTTTCTTCCAGTTTTGGGTCTTTCTCAGGGCCCAACTCTGTATTCTTATTCCCATGCATGTCTCATTTATTAGTTCAACAATTAAGCAGTGCCTATTGGTACCAGGCACTGGGGACACCGGGTGCTTTCATAGAACCTACAAACCCAGAGTTGAGTGGACTTCACATCCTTCATTGGACTGGGAGCTTCTTGGAGACAGGAATTGGGTCTGCAAGGGACTAGGTCAGGGACTGGCACCAAAAGGTACTCAGCAGTTAGTTAAATTGAAACTCAACACCAGTGACTCTGAGAAAACTGAATTAGAGTTTTAAAAAAGGTTAAACGTTAGCAAAGGTAGAAGGCCAGGACTCTCCAGGAGGGCTATGTGGTTCTGAAATCTGGCACAGAAGCCAGAGACATCCACAATCCCCTGGTGGACTGGGCCTATGGAGTGGAGATCGCACTGTCCTCCTCTAGGACGAATTTGGAAGTTTGACGTAGGGTCATCTGGGCGTATATCACACATTCCAGCCAGAAGGTTTTTTTGTTTTTGTGTGTGTTTTTTGAGAAGACCATAGAGGCAAGCAGGTTGTTTCAAAGGCCCAGAAATGAGTTACTAGCCAAAGGTCGAGCTGGTCAGATGATTAAAGTTGCATTGTCTAGTTGGCACAGAAGAAAAGCATGATTCATGTGATTATCATTCCCAGTGGAGGGTGGCCTGGCATTATTCGACACTCAAATAAAAACGTCATTTGAATTTTTACTGGGAATTCTCATCCAAACTGTGTCAGTGATGTAATAAAATAGAATGACTGGCTTGTCAAAGTAAACTGAGTTCTGATCACAGGTAAGCATTTCTTGGAAACTGTGTATATCTCAGAAAACAGATACTCTGAAACATGACAGCAGCAGGGGGCGCTGCTGGAGATTAGGAGCAGGTAGCACCTTATTTATAGACTATATATTTATATACTATCTTGTTCACTCCAATCATATCACTATTACCTGTGGAGAAAGGCTCCAAGATAGTGAAAAATGAGTCTTGGTGTTTTCTTTGCCCCTATTTTCTTTAGTAGAATAAAATTCTGGAAAAAAAAAATTAAACAGCCCTGACTGGTTTGGCTCAGTGGATAGAGTGTCAGCCTGCGGACTGATTCCAGTCAAGGGCATGTACCTTGGTTGCGGGCACATCCCCAGTGGGGGCGGGGGGTGCAGGAGGCAGCTGATCGATGTTTCTCTCTCATTTATGTTTCTAGCTCTCTATCCCTCTCCCTTCCTCTCTGTAAAAAAATCAATAAAAATATATTTAAAAAATATTAAACAGCACTCAGTCATTCTCAGCTGCCATGTAATGAAAGAACCACTATTTCCCCCAACCTTTCTGCATAGTAGGTTATAGTATAAAATCCCACCTTCTACCACCTCCTCAAGTTTCGATGGAGACATTTATTCAGTGAGTTGCAATTCATCCTGGGGGTGGAGCGTCAGAAATCAAGTTTTTTCCTGAGGGGTAACCCCGGTCTTGGCGCTATAGATAAAAGAGATGCTGGTAAATTTGGGGTGTAATTGCTGGATTAGACTGGTCTCCCCATTCCCTCCACCAATGACTGCAACTAGGTCCCTTTAAGAGACTAGGAACCCGCAGGGCGTCGGAGACCGAAACGGATAGTCCTCCCTGCGCCTCCCCTGTCCCCGCTCGGCAAATGGTTTGCGCCGGCCTATATTTACCCGAGGTCTTCCTCTCGGACGGCAAGGATGTGAGGCTGGCGAGCCGGCCAGCGCTCCCAGAACCCGAGGGGTCGCGCTGCAGAGGCGGGTAGCAGACCGAGAGGGGACACCGGGAGCGGAGTTGGACACCCCCGGAGGGAAGAAATGAGGTAGCGACGGTCCCGGGAGCCGACCATGCGCGCGCCCCGCCTGTGGAGCCCCGCGCTGCCCCGGCCGAGCCAGCCCGGACGGTGAGCCGGCCGAGCCTGTACCCCCTGCGCCCTGTTGGGGCCAAGATGAAATGAGCCAAGACCGGAATGGTGCGCCGGGGCCGCCGCAGACAGTCTGACCCTCCATCTTACA